AGGTCAGGACTATTGAATTTGTCTTGTTATACTCATAGCGACAGGAAATCCTCCATTACATTTCCATATCCTATATTTTCAACGGAAACTAACCTTAACTTCGAGACTCACCTTGTAATTCCAAATCAGGTTGTACGCTGTCAGATCTTGACTGAATCTGTAAAAAAGATCCGCTTAAATATCATTGCTTTTTCATCTTTCAAACGACTAGAACATTTTCCCATTTTCTTAATATGAACACTTACTTGTAATAAAAAAACTGGATTTAAATTCTCACATCTTTCCTGGATTTGAATCCTATTTTTGTCCTCCAATGCGAGAGATATCCTTCAAGTTGATTCCTCAACGTTCCCCTCGTTTTTCCAGAGCTCTAAGACACAAGTATAGCACGTGAAATAACAGGCTTATACGTACATGCAAGCATGCATTATGAAATTTTGGAACACGATTGTTGATTTAAAACGTACTTCTGCAAGCTTTACATTGTCACGAATTGATAAACGATCTTCTTCAGTCTCTGGTGGCTGAAGGAAAGATAAAAACTTTCCAACAAAATTGTTTCTTTACAAAAAGGTTTTACACTTCTGAATGAATTACCATTTAATTATTTCCTCAGTGGGGCAGTTTGCACAGTTTAAGGATGAATGATGGAGTTTAGTTACCAAAGCAGTTGATACCACTTAGTCATGAATACGATTGGTTAGTCAGAATCACCTCAATGGGTTTATGTAAATAATGGCCCTCGCAAAAAAGTTTTCAAAGATTTCTTACTTCGTCAGGGCTTTCAAGGTAATAGAACAAACCAGCAGGCTGTGAAAATCGTATTCAAATTTATTACATAATTGTTTATGAACCAAAAATTATGAACAGGAAATCTCGCATTTAAACTTTCTTGTATATTTTAGACATTAAAACTACTTTAATACGAACATTATTCTCGCAAGTAATGCCATTGCTGTTGGATGATGCTATGCCAACAATAATGATTATAAATTACTTATGGAGTATGCTTGTTAGTCTCAATTGAACTATTTACAGATGGCTAGTATATAGAGGATTATAAAATCACAAGTTTTAAGATTAATCTGAGAATGTTGCTAAAATACAACTCAGGTCCTGCGGATGGAATAGAGGCTATACCTCTGCAACAATTTGTTAATTTATCACACTAATTCGCACCTGTTCAATAGCGAACGTCTATCAGTGCTTTGCGTAAACATGGCCATGCGTAAGCGTTTTGGTAGAGCGCCCTCGGCAAGCGCCAGAACTTGTATTTTTGCCGCGGTTTCTTCATCAGCTTCCTAAAGTGAAGTTCTAACTAAATATTAACAGATGATTTTAGGCACTTCACACGATGCAGGAATATTCTTGAGGTTTTTAAAGGGTCTTAATTTCGAGTGGTATTATACGCACTTCAAATTCAAGCAGGGAACAGTTGATGGAAAAATGAGTCAACTGTACGTCCTCAGTGACAAGAGCATTGCACCGGCATTGCAAAAGCGTAGGTTCGATTCCTGCCGGAGGATCTATAGTTCACTCATTTTTCCGTCATCTGTTCCTGGCTTGATTTGAAGTGTGTATAATACCTCTCAAAATTAAGACCCTTTAAAACCTCTTAAATATCAACTGAACTAATATGTACATTCATCACGGCTAAAAACATGCAGAGCGTTATAAATGACGTTCGTCAAAGGCGGAAAATTCTCAATGGATGAATGAATGAATAAAACGTACCTCGATTATCTCCTTCAGAACCATGCCAGCACCTTTCACAATTGTTGTCGACGGATGCTGAAATTGTTGAGGAACGAATTCAAAACCACGATTGGTAAGAACCATTAGCGGGGCAATAGTAAAACATACATAAGCGAAGAAATGGTAAAATTGGTACTATTATTTAGTTTTGTCGTAAACCTACCTGGAACAATCGATAAATGCAATGACCCATTTCTAGACAAACAAATAACAGACTTCATGAGTTGCTCCTATGCATGGGTCAAGCTAGTGGACGTGGTAAACTTCACCAAAAAGGTAAAGAGAGAAAGGCTATTTAATCAACTCTCAACCTCAGTCAAAGAGCCATAAACTACCAAGAAGACAATTGAATGAAAAGCTCCTCAAATTTCTTTGTAGCATACCTGCAACTTTCTCCAGTAATTTCCCAAACTGTTCATCATCTGTTGTCTCACTAAGAGGAATATGCAATAGTCGATTTATTGTAACAGACTACATGAGTTGATTCAAAATATTGGAAGCAATCACACCTTACTATTAGTTTAACATGAATGTCCAACTTCACCCCCGTATTATTTTAATATATTGCAAAGCAACTAGAACAAACCTGTAAGGAGGACACAGAGCAAACGTCAGAAAATCAAGCAATCCACTTATAACTAAAACCCCAGTAGAACGAATATAGAAGAAAAGTTTTCATGGTTAATCTATTTCTTGTGTTTAGTTAGAAAGGTAGTTCAAATTAGAAAGGCAGTTGCTACGAATCACTTGCTGGGTTTTGCAAGGGAATTTCTCTTCCAAAACAAAGCTATATACATACAAGAGGGATGGAAAAATAAAATGCAAGGGTTCAGCATAGATTATAGGCAACCAACACCGCACATCTTACAACATTTATCGTGAGAATTTCCAACAAACTGCTTAGAAATTTTTCAGAGGATAACAAAGAGCTTTTGTTTATCTATTCTTGTCGAATGTCATAGTTATCGTGCGTTGGCTATATAAAAAAACAGAATTGGTTTCGATAAAATTGGATCCTGTTAACATTCAGATTTCAAAGTTGGCTGAGTTTATGTGGATTGCAAGTTAAAGGGGTAACACTAATGACAGTGACAGATTTGGCAACATATTACCAGGAAATTCATCGTTAAAGTGTTGGCGCTTTCCTTTATACGGAAAAAACGGCCAGACCGGTCCTATTGTTGATCTCGGTACAGACAGATTAGTGGTATTTTAGAGTGTTTCAAGAACTCTGCGTTCAAGTATATCGTTACTTGCATCTGTCTAGCTCGGAAATTTCGCAACTATATTCTTAACGAAATACTCTATTTTAAATTTAAATATGACCGGTCTGACCATTTTGGCCGCTTAAAGGAAAGCCCTCTCTTTACCTGCATCAGAGCACACAGATGTCGACAGCGGCGTGAGTCACGGCTTCATTATTCCTCTTCAAAGTTTCACAGTTTTCACACCAACCTTCTCATAGAAGCTGTAGAAACAAAACAGAAACACGGTCTAGAGAAAGTGAGCTGGTTGAGTAAACAGCGTGTGTTATGGTTAAAGATAAACTTTTCTCACCTAGTGAGCGTTGTGAAACCTGCTTTGGATCCAACCTAATGTCTCAAAGCGTGAAACAGTGCTTCGAGATCTTTATCTGATATTTTGTTTTGGTCTCCCTAAATAGACGAAACATTTTAACTATTTTATGTATATATTGAATACCTGTGAAGGTAATAGCAGTCAGAATATGTATATTTTAGGGGTGAACACTAAATATATTTATTGGCAAAGATATACAATACCTTCGTGAGCAATGAGCATTGTGATGGCATTAATGATAAGTCTTTCTTTATTCTCCGGGAAAAGTCCTTACAAAATATTTAAAATCGTTTGAAATATATATTGGAGTTTAAAAGACTTAATATTCCAGCCGTACTTCTGGCGAGAAAAATTCAAATCTACCATTTCATGGATTCGGACCCAGTCAACTCAGCAACCAGAGTTACCGCAGCGTAGTCCCTAGGCCTCTTAACGTTCCTTATACGCGGCGAGGCGGGAACTGAGAGGCCTAGAACAAAATGTTTTGTATTTTGGCTATTTTGTCCCCACTTTCTGTATTGAGGTCAGTTTACGATCCACGACGCGGTTAACTGGCCTTGTTCGACGTCGCAAGTCAAATATCTGCTTGAAATAACCTACGGGATATTAATTATACTGTCAGGACTTCGAAATATCCATACAAACGTTTCAATGTCATTTGCTGTCGACGCTATCGACTATCAAGTAAACTCGAGTCCGTGCGTACATGGTTATGATTATAATAAGCTTCAATCTGCCAATTTAAATTATTCTCGCTTCCTTTATAACGATTATTTGTGTAAATCTAGGTCAACTAATGCATACTAAAATAAGCAGAAAACTAACGTGCGTATGAAAAACACGTGAGTGGAAAACAGCCTTAATCCAGATTTTGACAGAACATTAAAACTCAGTAAAAATGCAATAATATTCTCTACACAGGATTTTGTCTGCAGAAAAGTACAAAATAAGAAATTGTCAACTTACGTCTTGGGTGACTGCATGAAGTAGACCGCTGTAGGAAATATTGCAGTTAAATCTCTACACATCTTCGGTTAAATTTCCTGCAAGGAACCAGTAATAAGACAATATAAGCTTTTGGAGATATTTCAAAAATTTAAAGTGAAATAAAAAGAGAAATATTTCACCTGGAGACGCAGCGAGGAATTTTAAATGACTGCTTTCTACTTCTTCGTCAACAACGTTATACAATGGACCCCAACGATAACCTTGAAAAATATATCATCTTAAAAAAACAATTCTTCTTTTGCTGTATGTGATGTATTGGACTGACTAATAGGAATACCTGACGAGAAGTGTAATTGTTTGTGTGTTATATGAGATCCCATACGTCAGGAGGAGAATGAAATGAGGGTTCGTATTTACGGTAATCATAGCAGTGCGAGATTTTCATCAGGAAAATTTTGACCATAATTTTCGCTCAATCATCTATGAAAAAGCGTACAGTACCGTCTCTTCGTTGGGGTCGTTTTTACACAAACATCTCCATTTCCACTGCCTCTAACCCCGTGTAGCTAACCAGCCAATGATATATCCCTAGATTGAGTGAAATACGCACATTCAGAACAAGAAATATTTTATATAGCTTCATACAAAATCTGCTTTTTTAAACTACCTGTCGGAAGACGAGTAATTTCTCAGCTGACCGCTTGTGTATTCCAGCCCGAACAACTGAGGATGGTCTCGATAGCTAATTATTGAAAATATCTGACAGAAAAAGAAGTTTTAAAACTATGATATACTATAATACACAAGTCTTAACCAAACGGTATATTCTGGAAAGTAACTGCAAAAATAAAACTATTTTAAGTCGGCTGGATACTTTTTTGCAATTGGACATGTTCAAAATGGAAACGTGAAATAAAAAAGATGATAAAAGCAGTAAACTTGAATCCAGGTCAGAAGACATCGAGTGTTTGGAGTGTTTGGAGTGTTTGGAATGTTTGTTTTTTTTCTTTCAAGGTCTGAGATGAACAATTACTGGAACTGACATGGAATGTCGCATGACTTACTGAGCTAAGGGGATGAAGGCTGACGATGTTGAACATATATTATAGTAATAATAGTTTATAGTTTATTATATTATAGTAATAGAGTTGATGTTCGCGGGCATAAATGTGTTTTTGGCCCTCCTCGCGGAACACATTTTAACCCTCGCTACGCTCGGGCTAAAATGAGTTCGAAGTCGGGCCAAAAACACATTTATGACCGCGAACATCAACTCTATTGTTATATTATTATCACTATAACATACACATGAGTATATACAAAATTAGTAAAATACAATAATTAGTAAATACAATAATTAGTAAATACAAAATTAGTAAAATACAATAATTAGTAAATAGATTTGAATAAATATAGTTCACCTGGTGCAAGGCACTTTTTAATGATAACTCCAAGCTTATACTTTCTGGATAATTTAATACATTCTATAGGGTTTAATGATCAATATAGGGATAAGTATCATAAAATTGTTTGGCTGTTGGGGTGTATAAACTATCAAAACTACAAAATTATATCCTGTCAAAATTTCGAATTCTAAAATAATGCCGGGTTTATGGTCATTTGAATTTGCTTGCTACTTTTATAATATGCAAAAAAGTAGACGGTAGACACTGATTTTAAGTTCAAATTTATAATATTTCGAAAATATATTATGCATTATTAATTATATAACATACCTTGAATAAATTTGAAGTTTTACATGATTCAAGAACATTTTCATTTGTATACCGAACTGTTTCGCCTTTGGATTTGATTCCGTTCATTAGTCAAAGTACACTTCAAGATGTCGGGCTTCCGTTCAAAATTGTCGAGGCCAGGGATATGACGGTGCTAGTGCTGTGTCCAGCCAGGAAAAAGGTATTTCTGGGAGAATATTAGAGAAAAACCCGAAGGCGTTGCATGTTCATTACTCCAGTCATCGTTTAAACCTTATTGTTGCCAAAGCGTGTTCAATTCTTCCAGTGAAAAATATTTTGAGTCAGGCACAAAATATCGCCAGCTTTTTTATCAGTTTCCCTATCCGCTCACAGTATCTAAGTAAAAAGATGAAAGAGTTTGGTTTAACCCGTAACAAGCTCGCAAACCTTCCACGACACGATGGGTAGAACGAATAAGATCCCGCGATGGTTGTTTGGATGCATTCAAAGTTATCTACGAAACACTCAATTTTATGCAGTTTGGAGGATCGCAGGAAGGGCCATTTCCTAGATTAGCTAGTGACGCACAGTCTCATTTTCGCAACGTGGAGAAATTTGAATTTATGGCTGCTCTCATTATCACCCAACATGTTCTGGATCATACTTTGTCATTGACGGTCCAATTAAAGAAGAAAAAAAAATCTATATTGCGGAATCAATAAAACAGATTAATCTTTTAAAGGATGAAATGGCAAAACTACGTGCCTCTGTAGATTTATTCCAAAATGAATACTACGACAAGCTGTTGGAATTAGCTAATAACCTCGACGTGGCTGAGTGTTTTCCCCGGGTATGTAAAGCTCAAACAAAATGTGATAATAATCGTACCAGTACAGCAGGTGGTTACAACAGATTAACAGTAACCATTAAGAGTCGTGCATAGGCCACGTGATAACGAAACATTCTGAGCTCATCAATGAACAATTGTAAAGGTTTTATTGTAACTCATAGGAAAACCTAAGGATATATTTTGTAAAATCTATTATATTACGAGTGTCTTTCCCTAAGTCTACCGACCCCTGAATTCCCCACGCTATCGTCACCCTGTAATAAATAAGTAACGTTGCAAGTCCTCACCTTCAACCACAAGGATTAAATTACGTAATTCGAAGTGCAAAATTGAGATTACCGGTTTCTGAGTTTACCGGTTTATAATGCTCAGTATTTAATAATCCGTATAAGACAAATTTATCATTATTATTACTTGACTTACGGATTCATTAAGTTTATCCTCGTCTTAACTCAAAAAAGTTTTCAAAGGACTTGCATCCAGAAGGGATTTACCAGGAACAGGCTAAAATTAAACAGATGTTGAGATTAATGCACGATGATGATTCGTGATCTTAAAATTGCTACCTTTTTAAACTCTTCACGAGTTAATAAGCCTTGACTGTTCCCTGTGAAAGAAAAATAGGTAAATATAGTCATATTATAATATATATATTTCCTCCATATTGCAAAGGTAATTTCGCTTGCCTTCAGTTTCTTCCTTGTGTATAACAGTGTCTTTGGAATCTGGTACGACATCAATCTGAAACGATTGTAAAATGAAAAAGCTAGTCTAAATAAAAGATTTCTTTCTTTTCTGCTTCCCCTGCCAGTCATGTTAGTAGCAATATAAGGGATGGATAGTGAATGTTCTTGCACGAAATAAATTTCATGCAAAGCGAGTTTGAAGAGAAATTCTTACCATAAAAGCGCTTGGTCCATATCTCGGACTACGACTCAAATATCGAGTTCGTTGAACAAATGCCGAACCAAGATTCAACTTTTGACCGGAATCTTGTAATAAAATCGACGAGGGTGAAGATCTGCCGTGTTCTGTAAGCAGCATCTTTTGTTCTGCGCTGTCTAAAATGTTGGCAGATAATTTGTTCATTTCGTAAATGCGCGAACAATGGCCGATCTGTTTTAACATTACAAACCTGACTCCTTGAGTTCGGTTTTCTTCATTTCAACATCATCCCGGGTATCTTCAATATTAGTTTCCTCATCTTCTCTACACGATGCGAGGCGATCTTTGACAAGATCTACAATCAATGTACGCTGTCTGTGCTCTTGCTAAGAAGTTCTGTTGTAGTTTCAAGGCGTTTTCTGGCTCCTTCTTTAATGAGTTCGGCCGATAAATCATCTGAAATACAACAATATCAATTTGACATTCCGCCAACGGAATGCCCAACCGAAACATTGAACAGGTTTGACCCATCGTTGACCTTACCAAAGAGTTGTTTTGGAATTAAACTTTCATAAATCTCAGTCTTTCCCACCGCTGGTCGTCACAAGATGTTTGAGTCACAAGATTTCTGTACTGAGCCTACGGTACCAGTGGGCTTTAAATCGCGGGTAAGAAGGTCAGATGCTTTGGTATCGAATTTTGTGTTTGGCACCTGGCTAGAATCATCTGCACGAGTTTTTCTATCAGTTGAAGAAGCCTGGAAATGACAAATACGTTCCTAAGAGCTTTCACTAGAAGAATATTAAAACTTGGTCGCTCTTGCAAATATATCTATTGAAAATTCAGCAAGCAATCCCCTGGCAATAGAATGACATGTGGACTTACTTTTGTAATAAATGGCACGAATTGTTTTCTTAACAATAGCGGACAGTTGACAAACCAGGATGAAATGACATTATCAGCAAGAGCTACAATGTATTGAGAGTATCTAAGGTGAAACATATCAGTTCGTTTATATTTTAATCATTTTGACAAAACCAATAATAAAAAGTTTCAGATGTTATCGCGTTGAGCCAACTTCGATGATTCTGTGTAAGGCAAACATATTCCAAAGACTTGTTTCAACTGGATCGCTGTGAAGTTTTTGTACAAAGCACAAAGCTGTTACAATGCGATTTAAACGATTTAAAAGAATGTTACCAACTTTTCGCCGAATACGATTGTGTGTTTACACAACCTAGCTCTCTTTAGGGGGTACATTGATATTTTGTAACAGATTTCATAATTTACGTAACTTCAAGAAACATACCAGAGGGAAATTCTAGCAGTGGTATGGCAACTTGAGACGTTGGCGAAAGTTTAGTAAACTTTTCCAGATATTGTGGGAGCAGTCTAAGGACAGAAAATTTAGTAATTATTACTTAAAAAATCATATATTTGTGAAGGAGTATCTCGCATCACAAGAGACGTTACGTTTAGGCTGGAGTTTATTGAAAAACGTTTCTGTAAATTCACTGAGCACATTATCAAGGCACGATTTCAAATATCTCCAAAGAAATAAACTTCTAAAACGCTACAACTACTTAAATCAACTTCGTTCTTACAAAGTGCTAATGGAAATAAAAAAACGTCTCAAATTCCAGACTATTTTAAGTAGCCATACCTTGCCATAACTGAAGGCATTTCTAACATACATACGGTGAGACAAGATACGCTTAACGTCGCGAAATGAGCAACCAAGTACGCATCAGATAACACTAGACGAAATATACAACAACGTTTAAGGAAGAACAGACAACCGCTGAAAATAAAGTAACGCAGATTCTTACCTGTTCATTTTACCAATAAAAATGTGGTACGTACACAGCTCCGTTAATACCTGCACGTGTTACAATAAAATATCCAATTAAATCATTAGTATGGTATGATATAATTATGGTATGATATGCATGGTTATGGTATGGTATGATTTCGTTATGGTATGGTATGGTGTGATATTATTATGGTAAGATATGGTTATCGTATGGTATGATTTAGTTATGGTTAGTTATGGTATGATATGATTATATGATATGATTATATGATATGATTATATGATATGATTATATGATATGATTATATGATATGGTATGGTTATGGTATGGTATGGTTTTGGTATAATTATGGTAAGATATTATGATATATGCAAAAAACTGATTGATAAGAACCGTACTGGAAAAATTCTAGCGTACAAATGAGGTCGGCGCATATCGTTAGGAACACGAAATAATCCAGGAAGAAAATCGTAATTTGAAACCTGAATGCAAAGTAAAATTTTTAGTTCATGATTTTGGTGTGAAAAGTACACAACTTCACTTCCCTTCCCATTTTAGAGAAGACTGTAGATATTGAACGTAAATATTGCTTTCCAGAAAGTATCAAGTTTTTATCTTGCAGTGCCTCTGGAAAGTTCCTCAGAAGAACATCCAACACCTCCCATTCCAATTCCTAGAAAATGAAGAAAGTTGAACTTCAATCGAAACTTAATGCCATGATATATTATGATAAAAGTTTACCTGTTGTAAGCACACAAGAATAACATTCATCGCCTCGCTGTAAGGCAGTGAAACAATCCCGTTTGTCTTATCTTCTGCAGAACTAAAACAAAAATGAGAATGTATTACGCAAACAAGAAAAGGAATTTTGGAAGCAGAATACCTGACATACGTGGCACTATCGTCATTAACCAACATTTTCTTTCAGAACAAACAAAATACGAAGTGAATTAAACTTTTCTACTTTTGTCTTGCACAAGGCCTAGACGTTGTCAGCTCGCAGACTGAGGAAACATTGAAGAATCTTTAAGAAAACACAATGTGAGACATCATAGAAAAATCGCGAGAAATAAATTGAATTTGCCTTACCGAAAGCCGTATTTCCGATGCACTATACGTCCGATAGCTATTGTCATAATGAGTTTTTATGTGGTACACTAATATATTGAATATTCGTTCGGCTCGTTCTTGAGGTTTACGGAACAATTTCATCTGCAAAAATAGAATGAAATTACTGAAAGAGAAGCAAGTGTGGCATTAAATTACACTTATTTTTGTTCACGAAAATAACTTCATCACAATGAACGAATATGTGTGGACAATCTCTGCATGTCCTTCATTACCTTGAACAAGCGTACTAATCCTAATACAGCCTCCTTGATGTCTTTCTATGCTGTTTCATCCTGAGGCTGCAGCAACAAAGACAAATTACAGTGATTAGATGTAATTTTATGTCTCTAGATGTTCCTACATATACCTTGCAGTCTCTATAATTACCTTACATGTTCTTTACATGACGGCTTAACGTATCGTTTGAGAGGATCAACTGGACAGTGGCAATCTGGAATTGATAAATGAAATATATATCCTTTTACTTCACTGATGCGTTTGCATTCACGACCCCGTGTAAAACGATCCAATTTGCGGATATATAGTTAGGTTCAGGTCAGGAAGCTTTCACTGATAAGAAAGAGTTTTCTATTGAAGTACAGTATCAGCTCATCACGAATGAAGAGGGAAATTGGAGTGGAGAAATGAAAC